TGGGGTGAACCAATTGGATGAAAAGCTTCAGTGCTTCATGAAGCTTCATCTGCCCATCACTACCAAACAGGCAGGCTAACAAACCGAACACGCAGTGAAAGTGAGGGTAAACCGACGTTAACGACACAACAACAAGAACTAACTGACAGAGATTAAAATACACTGGCAGGCAGATGAGGAAACGAGGAACAGGTGGGCACACAGACTGCTTGACTGATTGACATAAGATTTCAGTATTTGATGAGGATAAATCAAAAATACTTTTGCATTTACTGACTTGTAAATAATTTTACTTGTTGACATTATGATGAGCTGCCTTAGATATTACAGGCTCCTGAAATGAAGTCACTTATGTTTAAAAATACAACTGAACTATATGTGAACGTCTGATGTTTAAATTCATATTTGCCCAGATTCCCTGTGTCTGCAGTGACGTGTATTGGCTGGCTCACACAAACATGTATACAATCACTTTGTCGTTGATGCTTCACCAACAGGTTGGACGTCTGTTTATTTTCAGTGTTAGACAGAAATGTGCTGAATGTTGTTCCTCTAATGCATCATTTTCATATGATGCATTAGAGGTATTCCCTGTGACAAGCTGACATCCGCCAATAATAAATGTATTTTCTATATTCTTATAGTTTAAGTAAACATATTAATTTGAGATTACAAAGACAAATACATGTATTACAAACATGTTAATATTAGTTTCACCGATATAATAGAAAGTATAATTATTATTATAATTGTGTTGGTTTAACATAAGGTAATTAAATTAAATACAATCTGCATAATAAATGTAAATGTAAAGAAACATTTTATGATGTTAAGATGAAAAAACTGTAAAGACTTCAGGTTTTATTGCAGTTATAAAACAGAAAAATAAAGTTTGACTAAACGTGACTTTATTACATGTAACTGATGTACATATTTTTTTCAGTGTGATTGGCTGACGATGTGTTTTGCCAAACGTCTGTTCATCATCAGACACTCTGCATTAAAAGTATTTATTATGCTGTAAGTCACGATATGATAACAAAAGAGTTTCATCACAAAGTAAATCACAAAAGAAGCTCAGATGACGACATTTCAGGAGTAACTATCACATCACCTGATCTGTAAAAGAGTACTGACATCACCAAACCAGACAAAGGATTAGAACAAAGCTCTTCTAAGCAGTTTTCATCTGAATAATAACATCACATTTGTTCCTGTATTGATGTGATGAGAAGAAATGAGACCTGCTGAGGCCTCTGATACATTTATCAGCTATAGTAGGATAATGGCTCAAATGTGCAGCTGCAACATGATTTGGTTTCATATTTAATGGTTTAAACTAATTTCATTTGAACTCTTTTAAGTTTCATTCATCTTTTACTTTCAAATTCACACTGATGTGTTCAGACTAAAGCTCTTTCAAACACCCCGTGAGCATCATCAGCGAGCTTATCAAGGAACAAATTCAGAATTCTGTAAGTTGTGGTGAAAGAGAGACCCATTGCTATTGGGATTCCAATAAATGGAATCCATCTGGACACTTCCTCTGCTGCCATTAATGCAGCTACGGACCCAAGTCGGACTATCACCTTAATGAGGAGATGTATATTTATTTCTACTGCAGCCAGTGGTGAAATGATGACAGCACGCAGATCAGCGTATGGCACACCTGTTCTGGCAGAAAGTCTCTTCAGAGACTGGATATCGAGACCAAACGCAAAAACATATTCTGTGACAACATCAACCAGCATAGCAAGGTCAACATCAATAGAAAGACCAGGAACTGGAACAGCTGCTCCAGCTGCAGACAGAGTAGCCCAGTATTTTATTCTGGACTTCAGAGCTTGTTTCTTCTTCCTGATGATCTCTGGGTTGAAGTTGGGCATGGCACACAGCAGAGCATCTCTCTTGTGTGCAGGAAGGTCTCTGTCTAAGGTCTGCTGTAAGAGAGAGAAGTTGTACAGGTGGAGCTCAAAGCTGGACACCAGGAACACCTGTGGAGACTCGATGCCTAATCCTCTGAGTCCTGCGTCACAGAAGAAACACATAGTGTGAAGATTAAGTATGAAATAATAAATTATCTAAAACTAGGCTTTTCCATTCAGGGGATTCATTGACTCCTCTGACTCCACAGAGTTATGAAGGGTTATAGTTTAGTTGTGGATAGTTTAGAATAATCTTGGATCCTATCTGCTGCTGGGAATCATGGGAATGATTAGAGTGTTTTTTTATGTAAGATTATTATGAAGAGAAACTGCAGCCCAGAGAGTCTGAACAATACCAAACAAACATCGAGTTAGAGATTAACAGCAGCAGGCAGCTGTTCTTCAAGAAACATCAAACAACTAAAGTATAATGTTTGTTGATGGAGACAAAAACTGGAGATAAAACTGATTATAT